GCATTTAGTAGTTGTGTTTTTTTAAATAGAAAAATTGCAAATAATTTCTACGTAAGGCCTATTAGAATGATGATCATTGACTACTAATTGGGGAACTCTATGATATCCACTGATCCCAGCTTAATGTTACCAAAATGAGCAACCTGACATTATATAGCACTTGTTTTCAGTATGTTGAATCAAGTAAGAGTGATTTGTTTCTGAGGTGGCTGGTTCACTTTGTAAAAGCCCACTAGAGTTACTTCTGTCAAGTTGGTTTGCACTCAGAGGCTGCCTCTAGCACAGTGTGAAGCGGCCTGTAAGGGCTTCCAAGCTGTCCAGGTTCGTGTACAGAGGCCACAGCTTCTTTGATAGAATTGAAGATCCACACTGCAAAGTGTTAACCGTCAGCCTGTTAGCCACTTGACCACCAAGGCTCCTCTTTTTAAAACAGTTCTCTACCGCTTTGTTTAAGATGAGCATTGGTGGATGTTGTCTTCCCACATCCTATAGGCATTCTTGTTTTAACTTGACTTCATCTAGCAGCCTTTACATTAGACCGTTTCGGGGAAGAGAAGAGTTTGCATTTCTGTTTTGTTTTGTGGTTTCTAAGTGAAGAAAGGCTCCCTGATGCCTTTAGAATTTCTCTCCAACCTGAGAGTCTTGGTGAACTGTCTGTCAGTCCTGGCAGTGGTAAATTAGGAGGACGGATTGCTTTGTTTAGTGATATTAGGCATTGCACATAGTTGGAACTTGATTAATGTTCATCATTGGGCATACATGCTTCTGTCTATTTGTAGGATTTCATGATACCTTTGGTTTGAATTTTGCCAGTCTGTCTGTAAAATTCATCACTGTGGGTGAATAGAGTCCTGGGTTTCTAGAGAAGAGATTACCAACTTGTAACAGACAGCACAGACAGAGCTCACAACTGTACTTTATTTAACCTCTTCTGTGTGTATATATGTGTTTAATGGTCTTAATTTTTTTGCCAACATTTCAAAAAAGTGACACATAGAAACCAAGATTTTTGGCTTCTCTTAACCAAGTAGAAGATCTGGCAAGACTGAGTTTATGTTCCCTCACGGAACCAACTCAACTGAAGCCGAGTAAGGACTGTATTAGACATGCTGCCTTGCTGCTTTTATCATTCAGTTGTTACAGACTTACATACTTGTAACCCTTATTCCAGTGATTTCAGGTAGCTTTTGTTCTTTGAGTCTTATACTGTTATTTTAAATTACCCTTTTTTCTTTATTTT